AGGGGTTACCAAAACAAAGTGAAATCAAACTAGATTAAAAAAACAAAGCTTTGTTACTTGTTTAAATGAACTCATAAATTATGGTTTCATGACGTAAGTTGTGGTTTAGAGATACAGTAAACAGTTTTCTCTTGGTTTGTGTTGTCTTGTACTACACTCGTACTACACTAGATTTAAGGAACATCATAAAACACTCAAATTAACTCATAAATTTAGATTTTATGAAGAAACTTGTGGCCTGAAGATAAACAATCTAAATGTTATCAAAAGCAAATTTGGTGATTTCCTGTACCAACCTCCTATACTGAGATTAGATACAAGGAAACATCACAAATTGCTCCATTGAACTCGTTTTTTTTCTTTCTTTCTAAGAAATCCATGGTCTAAGTATAAACAGTCTAAGTCTTAGATGGTAAAATCAGCTAAACTTTGAGCTCGGTAGGTATTTTGTATATGTATTAAACAACCCAGCTGGTCAGTGTAAACTCCCCCATGAATAAAAGCGCACAGGTCAGGTGTGAAGTCAGAATGGAGGAATGTTTCATTTCAGCGTTTGTTTTACTGTTCGGTTTGAATGTTCCAGATGATCCCTCTGCAAACCAAGCTTGAGAAATGTTTGTGGTCATAGAAGACTGGAAGAGGTGAAGCAACTGAATTGTTGACTCAGTTGTCCTCCCTCATGCTGTGCCTTGGCTTTGCTCCTGTTCTCAAAGCTGGCTGTAAGCAGAAGGATTTAACATCCCCTACAGTGGCGAACCCCATGGAAGATTCTGTCTTGAAGTGCCCTATTGTTTCCAGTCTGTCTAATCCTATGTACTGATTTATTTATTTAATTATTTTTTTATGGGGAAAAGAAAATTTGAAATGGCAACACAATGAGAAAATGCATACGGAGTTCTGGTTTTATGGATCACATCTTTGGTATTTCATTACCTTTTTGAAGTTCTGTTGTAACTCTCAAGGCTAAAGCGTTTATGTAAGAACTCTCTCCACCCTCCCGTTGGTAAATTTAAAAAAACGTCATCTGTAACATCAATTTTGAACTTTCTCGGAAAACTAAATATAAACCAGACAGTGCTTAAATAAACTAGACCAGTACTGTGTTCCTCAGGGGAGCGGGATCAGACCTTTAACAGTGTCAATTATTGGCCACGATGGACGCTCACTGTACTCTCTGCCTTGTGCTTACCATGTGTCCCTTGTATTGTCCAAGTCATTTCACAGACTTCCTTTGGGCAACACCGTCAGTCTTCACAGAAGCTGAGGAAGAAGTGGCTGTCTTTGAAGTATAAACACATGGAACTCTTTTCAAGCACTTCAAAGAGCACATTTGAACTTTTTATGTATACGCCTTTTGTAGTGCAAGCGCTTATGGCTGGACAGTTTTAGAGCATGACACAATTCAGATTCTGGTGGACCTGTTTATGTTGCGATTTACTTTGGGTTCATGTAGGATGATAACACCACTTCTGCACAATATAACTATTGACTGAATCGACTGCAAACTGAGCTAAAACGCTCGTTAAACATCTGGAGACAAGAAACATGCATCAAAAAGTCATGTTAAGACAGCAGCTTTATTCTTTACTAGCTGACACATATTTATTAGTCATTTTCAGATTTCACTTACTCGTAGTACTCTGCCGCTGGGGTGATCTTGTACTTGGCGTATGATGTGCCGTTGCCGAGGGTAGACGCATTGATTAATTTGGGGTCGGTGCAGTTTTGACTATTCCAGCTGTTGCCACACGTGAGCCATGGAAGGTCGCGTGTCATGGAGGAGAACAGGTAGTAGAGGGACCAGGCAATGATGACATTGTAGTAGAAACCAACGTACAGAGCTATGATAATAACCGTGTAGCCCACACCTGAGACAAACAGATATAGAATGAGACGAGGGTGAGTATCATCTCACAATGATTGTACCTGTTATGTTGCTATAGGGAAAACATTGTTATGATTCTTGTGTGGAAACAAAATGGTAAATGAACTGTACTTATATAACGTCTTTCTATCTTTTCAAGATACTCAAAGCACTTTACAATACAATCAGTGCCCTCATTTACCCATTCATACAGCACTCTACTAGATCAACAAAGTCCATGCTCAATAATCCAGGTATACAAGCCAACAATTTTCAGTCAGGTCATCTGGACAGTTTCGTTTTTTTTTGTGTGTGTGCTGAAACATTTCACCTTCCATCCGGAAGGCTTCATCAGTCAAGGAAACACACAACACAAAACTGATTCTTCCCCCAACAGCTTACTCCAAAGTGGAACAAACCAGTTATGTTGGTGCTAAGATGGTCTCTTTGGCACGCCCCCTCCTCCTCCCCCTCTCCATCATCGCCAGCCATGTCAAACTGGTTCAAAACCAACAAAGTCCATGCTCAATAATCCAGGTATACAATCCAACAATTTTCTGTCAAGTCATCTGGGCAGTTATTGAGCATGGACTTTGTTGGTTTGGAATCAGTTTGACATGACTGTCGATGAGGGAGAGGGCTGGCACTGGAGGAGGGGGTGTGCCAAATAGACCATCTTAGTACCAACATAACTGTTTTTTTCCACTTTGGATTAAGCTGTTGGGGGAAGAATCAGTTTCGTGTTGTCTGTTTCTTTGACTGATGAAACCTTCTGGATGAAAGGTGAAACGTTTCAGCACAAACAAATAAAAAATAAACTGTCCAGATGACCTGACTGAAAATGGTTGCACTCTACTAGATGTGTACAAAGATTAATCAGTGCTTTATCATATTCATGCACCAATGGGACACACATCGGAGGCAGTGAGGGGTTCAGTGTCTTGCCCAGGGACACTTGAACATGTGACTGCTGGTTGAATCGAACCCCCAACTCTTGCATTAGAGGACAACTGTTCTAACCACTCATCCACAACCTCCCAAATGTGAAATATGGCATAATTTAGTTTACATTCCTGTTAATGGTAACCATTCATTATCTGCTTTTAATTTCCTGATCAGAACTTGTTTTTTGGAAATACTGCGTATGCTCCAACGATGGTAGATGAGTGCAGATGCATCTTACACCAAGTGTATTCCAACCAAAAGCCATGAGAGAAAGTAAAACGTAAAAAGACACCCTGCACACACAACTTCACCTCATCATTTTTGGCTGCACTGACATACACTTCTTCTTTTTTTCCGCCCCTTTCTTTCTTTCTTTCTTTCTTTCTTTCTAGGTTTTCGTGGAAAGCATAAACCTCTTATCTGATTGACATTTCCAAAGCTGAAATAGTTTTTGCATGCACAGATACACAAGGCCTTAATGGCTACTGTCCATCATTCTGACCTGCTGCAGGGGTGTGGATTCTGGACTGTTATTCTATCTCTGCTGGAATGTGATGTCTTTACATGAAACAGAGAAGCTCATAAACTCTTCACCCTCTCTTTCAACGCAGGAAAATAACAAGTTCGCCTTGGTACTGTCGCCAAAAAAAGCAGTGAGCGGCGTGGGCTCAGAAGATACTCATCTAACTGTACCTGAAAAGTTGTGCCGCTATCTCCATATTAAGCTAACGGACCGAGTTAAATGTGTTTTCACAAGCCTGCTGTGTAAGTTAATTTGCAGGGATTCTTTATTTTTCAAATAATCAGTTGAATTATTTGTACTTTTTTTTTTTTAATCTGTGTGTATTTTTTCCACTCTGTTTCATTGACATGCAGCAAAGTAAATACTGTCCTGCTTTGGTTGTGGTCCATGCATTTAATTAAAACAAAATGTGTGAATGTTGCAAGTCAAATCAATAAACATTGAAGGGGGAACAAAAAAAGAAAAAAGAAAAGACAAATGAAAGCCCCACTGTGACATGTTTTAGTTACAAATGATTCTGCCAGACTTCTGAGTAGTGAAAAAAAAATGTAAAAAAAAAGAACAGAGGGATGAAATTAAAGGGCGAGACACTTGAGAGGCCAAAAGAAAAGAACAGGACGCAGCGCAGGTTAAAATGTTATAAAGAGACTGACAGACAAAGGCATGTGTGTGTAGATGTGTGTCTGTGTGTGTAGGGTGCAAATCACCTTTAAAGACGGGGCATATTTTCCACACTGTCGCTGCTCCTTCTCTGTTGTACTGACCCAAGGCAAGTTCCATGTAAAACAATGGCATCCCCGCAATTACCAAGAAGAGAACGTAGGGGATCAGGAAGGCACCTGCAAAGACAGAAATGATCACACTTTGCTAATTCATTTGCAGCCTTATTAAGAAGTGTGTGTGCATCCTATAGATACAACTGCTAGTGCAAGACAGAAAAAGAAGAAGAGGGAAACAGGAGTGGCAGGGGTGGGGGCTTGACATTCTTAGAAAAGTAATAAACTATAGCATGCTGGTGGGGAGGCTCCAAGCTGTTTTCATGCTGTGCTTCAGAGACACATCCACCAACAAGGAAATAACCTCATAATTAAACCGGTCCTGACACTGTCCATCACAAGTGACACATTATTCACAGTAATGACTGCATTTTGCTGAGGGCCAGTTAGTTTGATATGACGATGGTGAGGTTGACCACCAAGAGGACACACAAAAACCTGTTGATTCTTACCATTTGAATAGACCCAGTGCAGAGCTTCAAGTGAGCACTCTGTTGTCATCTATGTTCAAAATGACACTCAAACAATATTTTCTTGGTTCAACACTGAGCTCAACACCAACCTATAAATCAACCAATGAGATACATTTTCAAGAATGAAACTGTGTCACCAGGAAACCCTGCAGACAGGATGAAATCGGTTTCATCCTCAGAGCTTCGTACACAGATTGATAGATTAAAAAAAAAAAAAACGCTTTAACTTCTCGTTTTGAGAGTGCTTTATCTAAATTAACCACACGCACAAAACCATAAACACATTTTGTTCACAATTTCTTGATTTCTGATTGTCTATTTTTAAAGTTAACTTGGGTTTTCTTCATATTTGTGTTTTTTGTTCGTGAGTAATCAGTCACACATTATAAGCTACACCTTAGATGGTGCATATTGTGAATAAATAAAATTTAAAAAGGGATTTTCCATCGCTTTGCCATCAAAGCTATATGCACTTTCCTATTGAAACAAGTTAAAGGAGCTAAATTTAGAACTTTGTTTTTTTGTTTATTTTTCAAATGTTTAATTATGTTTTGCTTTCTGAAGAGATTTAAAAATGATTTAAAAGGGAAATGGGGAAAAGATGCATACCATTTGAATATATTTAGAATATTGCCACAGACATTACATTTCATTTGCAGAGTGATAAAGACCCTCGCAGATTGGGACTCAAACATCAAAACTGGACTCTTGTTTTGACTTCTCTGACTCTTATTCATCATTTTGACCCACATGAATTGACACATCACTGCTCACCTCCACCGTTTTTGTAGCACAGGTATGGAAATCTCCAAACATTGGCCAGATCCACTGCAAAGCCAATAACCGACAAGAGAAAGTCTATTTTCTTGCCCCAGGTCTCTCGCTCTTCCTCGGTTGCCAGGAGCCCCGGCGCGGGGATGATGGAGGTACTAGTGTACTGGACTCCGTTCTGGTCCTTCACCAGTATGAGTTCCACCTCTTTTTTCTCCACATTGCACTGTTTGAGCGGGGCGACCGACGAGAGCTTGTGCTCTGGTTGGACCTGGATGTTCATCTTGTCAGCGGTGCGTGCGAAGCCCACGCCGGCGCGATGCTCTCACAGCCCCCTGCGGGTTCTGGAGCAGCTAACGGTCTGAGGCGCTGCGCTGGGTGGGGGGATCACCCTCTGACCAAAAAAAAAAACAAACAAAAAAAAAAAAAAACTAAGAAGCGCGTGTTCTTCTTAAGTGATGCATCCGCGCACATCGGCTGGAGAGAAGGGGAAAGAAGCAGATCGTTTGGAGAGGTTAGAGAGTTGGTGCGTAAAGTTGAGGCGCAGTTACGCGCTTTGAGAAGCACAAGTTAGAGCAGCGGGATGAGACCAAATGACATATATCTTTCCTACAGCAAACAGACTTAATGTCTATGTGCTTTAGACACAAAACGAATATAAATTATTATTTCTGACACACAGAAATAGGAAAAGTCGCCACCACGAGCGGAGCGCATTGTGCGCACTGACCAAACTATTCATTCTCTAATTGTGAAGTGGCAGACAAGGATAGATGGATATGTCTCAGGTACTAAATTAGTAAAAAGCTCTGTTAAAAGTCGAAAAGCCCTACTGGATTAGTTTAGGGAAACCTCTCCATGACCCGATGGTGCTGCGGTCCGGACGCGTCTGAGGGAAGACTGCCCATCCTGAAAGAACTTTGAGACTCGCCTTCTCAAGCAGAGGGGATAAAAAAAAA